AAGTTCAAGGATGAATGGGCAAAAATTATCTGATATCCTAAAGAACTGTTTCTGTATATCAATTATAAACAGAATGGGTGTGTGTCATCCAGAAATCTAAGACTTAAATGTTTCTTTTACAGTTTATTAGAATTTATCAATTATATAAAATAATAGGTTTCTTTATGACATTTGTATATGCATATAATTTACTGATCATCTTTAATCCATTATTAAAATATCCTGTCTTCCCTTTCGTCTGTTACCTGTCCAGTACCTCCTAAATGTCCTACTTTGATGTATTATCTGTAGTTTCCTTTTTCCTTTAACTATTCGTTACATGTTTGCACGTGTATATATATGTAATCTGTGATTCCATTTAGCATTGTGCTCATACATATGTTTTAGAGCTGACCACTTGGTATTAGAAATACATTTATGGGCTCATCCTGAGGAGAGATTTATTTTCTCTCTCAGCTGTCATCAATTGCCTGTTGTAGCAGGAATATTAAAGATTCTTATTAATAAAATCAAACCTGAGGCCAGTTATTGGGGTGAATACTGGAAGATCAGAGAGACAGAACAAACCACAGATAACCTCACCTGGCCAACTTTTCAAATGATCTTGTTTCCTCAGACTGGAAGCATCTCTGTCCTCATATCCAAATGGCTCTCAGCTGAACTGTGCTGCTCAAAACCTAAAAGCTTAAGCAGCAAAATGCTGCTAGTTCCTGGTCCTTATGCCTTATATACCTTTCTGCTATCTGCCGTCACTCCCTGGGATAAAGGCTCACTTTCTGAGATTAAAGGCGTGAATCACCATGCTTGCCTGCATCCTTGAACAGATGGATTTCTGCCTCTAGAATGCTAGGATTAAAGGTGTGTGCTACCACTGCCTTGGCTTTTCTGTTCTCTGACCGCAGACAAGTTTATTAGGGTACACGATATTTTGGGGAGCTCAATATCACCACAGCCTGTAGGTCATCATCTAGGAGTGGGGTCTTGTGGAGATCCCCTGTCCATATTGGCACATCCACTGGGGTTGTGGTTGGGTGTGTCTTGCTTAGGCTATGACATTCTTGAGATCTTCTGGGTGCAGCTTCCTTGTCTTGCAAAAGATGTCCTGAGTCTCTGTATTTTACTATCTTTTTTCCTCTGTTTAGAGAGGTTCCCCAAACCTTAGGTGTAGGATTTGGTTTGTATTCTGGAATTTTACTTAAAACATTATAGGTACCATCCCTTTGTTTCATATGATACCCCAGGTCATGGCTAGTGGTGGACCATGGAATGGTCCTGGTGATGATTTTGATGTCTTTAGGGATGCTCAGTCTCCTTACATCTCATTGCAGTGGCTCTTGGGATCCTCTGCTTACTTCTGATGATGGCAATCTCGGTGTGGCTGATATACAGTGAGTAATTCAAATACATCATTTGCCTAGGTAATGCCAACAGATACTAATTATGCCACAAAGATCATACTTTGTCCATTATTGACTGTCACCAAGTGACATTTCAGGTGGCATGGTATTTGTAAGTTTTTTATTTTCCTCTGGTGTTGTTGGAGAGCTTCTCTCCAGGTTCCACCAAGCCCCGCAGTCCCACAATCCACATATAAAATAATCACTCAGACACTTATATTACTTATAAACTGTATGGCCATGGCAGGCTTCTTGCTAACTGTTCTTATATCTTAAATTAACCCATTTCTATAAATCTATACCTTGCCACATGGCTGGTGGCT